AGAGTACTTGCTGGTGAGATGGTTTGTTCAGTCCCTGCACTGTCAGTTTCAAGCTTCTTTCTACTGGGAAGGGATTGCTCACAGCAGGGTTGAAGTCTCCCACACACAGAAGGGTGAAGATTCAGAAGGATTGTAACTCTGGAGCTGTGGCTTATATACCACTCCGGGATAAAACCAGTTAAAAAGCACAAAGTACACCTATAAGTTGTGTAGAAAAGGCACAAATGTGCTGAAATGAATGGGAGCTGCACACATGGCATGTAAACAGGAAAAATACACATGCATATATACAAGTTTTAAGTTCATGTGAAGACCACTATAAAACGCAAGACTAGACAGAAAATAAGTGCATGCTGCTGTATTTCTAAATCAGAACATAAACTGGGGAAGTCAGACTATACATAGCATTCACAGATCAAAAAAAAGAAGGCAAACACATACAGAAACATCTAAAATATGAGAACAAATGAAAAAGGATGTTAGATGTATTGACATTTTGAAGATATTTTTACAGAATTTAGCTGGGTTTGGAATTCTATAAATTTTTCTGCCCAGAAACAGCACTGGAAATACTTCTAGCTGTGAAGAACACGCTTACTTGGAATTTCAAACCAAAAACGCTTGGCCTTCTTGAACTTCAAGCTTCAACAGGTTCTTACATGTGAAGCTTTCAATTGATTTGGGGCAAGATGCTTCACAAACGTTTATGCATAAGCAGATGCTACAACCACCAAGATTATGGAGTACTCACAGAAGAGGGTTGGTTGTAGTATTTATAACTCAAAGACACTCTCCGTGTGCACATAAGAACTACAAATAAAAAGTTAAAAGACCCTAATGTATAATGAAAACAAAGATCCATAAATTGTGAAAACCTACTATTAATGGTAGCAACTAAAGCAAGCTGAGGTATAGAGGAATAAACCTCAGTGTTACATCATTATACTTACTCTGCACACTTCAGATTATACCCACAAACTTCTCCCATTTATAACGACTATTTCCCAGCTTGTAGCAACTGCTCAGTAAGGGCTAAGACCACGTTTATGCTTCAGAGAGAGTCAAATACTCAGCAAAGAGTGTACAATGCAAAGGTTACAGAAGAGCAGCAGGACTTGCTAGAAGTGAATGTTTAAGAAACAGGTTAGAAGAGAGCACTTTAGCAGAGAGCAGCACACTGCAAAATGGGAAATGAGAAAGTTGAGCACAGGAAAAGTTAATTAAACCCCCCAGAGCTAACAACAGATATTCTGATAGCACCAAACCATACAGGTCAATGAGGATGAGCAAAATACTTGACAGGAAGATGAGACATCAGTCCCAATAAGCACAGTCACAGACCATGACAACTTCAAGAGCTCTGTTTGAAACAAACAGGTTGGCAAAGAAGTAGAAGAAAAATGGAACATACAGCAACAACCTGATTTATTTCAAAAGTCCAGCAGATAAGGAATCACTCCATAGACAGTATTTCCTACCACACAGACTAAAAGTGGTTTAAGTTACCGCCAAAGGTATTTTGGACCACCTTCCCTTCCCCCTTTAACTTTTTGCTGTCAAGTTGAAAGCTGACTCAAATTGTTACAGATCCAGAAGAGACCACCACAAACAAGTGCTGCAAGGGAACTTTCTAATATTTACTGGACCTCGAGATAATCTTTCAGGAATAAGCCATTCTCTGGGTAGCAGACAACACACTGAACCCGTGGATGGGTAATCACTTGCCCAGGATTTAGAACACGTGCAGTGAAGTGCCTGCTACACCTACAATAATTGTAAAGATTGAAAGGATGAATTTAAATATCTGATATTACCGTAAAGTAATATGCAAATTTCTTATTTACCCAATAATCCCCTATCTTAAATTCTTCCCTGTGTATAAAATGAAAGCATGTCCCACAAGGACACCTCCACAGAGACTACAAGAAAAAAAAAATACACAAAAGGGTAATTTTTTAGCCCTACTAGTCATTTTTTTATAACCACTTCTCACAAAAGACTTTGTAGGCCTACAGACAAACCAAGGAATGCATATTTAGATTCATGTGCAAGAATACAATACAGTTTTCATTCGCTATCGGGTAACAGATTAAAGACAAATACCTACATTGTTCCATTTCTCTGCCTTAAATTCAAAATTGTGAACAAAGGAAATCTTCAAAGGGGAAGAAGCTGGTTTGGCCAGCTCTTATTCCACCCACAAGGAAAGCGGGGTGTGGTGGGTAGGCAGCTATCTCCAGCTGGCCATATTTTCAGGACCACTATCATTATCTGAACTAAAGCTTCATTGCACCTAAGTGATTATCTGACACATCCCTTCTCCTGCTTGAAGCTGGATCAGCTGCTCAGCCACACCAACACCACTGCGGATAAAAACAGGTTGAAGTAATGCATCTGAGATGGTCCAAACCTAAAGCTGGTCCAGCTCAAAGGTGTTCTGTAGATGTAACATTATTATAAGCATTGAAATAGCCTTGGTTCAGTGACATGGAGGGACTGCCATTCTCCTTGTGGAGTCAGCAGGACAAGGGGAAAACAATAAGGAAGCTCAAGAAGTAACACAGAGATGGAAAGCCAGACCAGCAAGAGTGACTAACTTATTAACGCTGTAATTCAGCTACTAACACTGTATTATTCACACAGCTGAGAAGGTCACCAAATTAATCCCTAACAATAAAACAGGTGAGGATGGAAAATGCACCTAGTTTGTGAACAGACAGAAATGAACATAATAGTCCTACACAGTATATCACGCTAACTCTTAGCTAAACAAAAAGAATCCAACTACATACTTGCAGACAGTTTTGCCAGAGCCTCTTTTAAGAAACAAACACCCGAGTTCAAAGAGCTGTAGAGGCTACTAAATTGAGAACAGCAAACACTTTCTTAATCTAAAATATTTTTCTGCTATTTTATTAAGCTAAACACAGGACTGGAACACGAGAAGGCACATATGTCACCTGTATTCCATTCCCAACTGGAATAACCCACTGACTGACGAACAATTTATCAAATGCTCTAAGAAACATTTTTCCAGTTTGGACACATGGAATGTAAGAGCCTATAACATGGAGGATCTAAGCATGTAAGACCCCACAACAGCACATATGCTAGAACAAGCATTGGCAAAATAAGTGCTATTCAACAACTGAGACGATTTACCTAGAAAGATTTACCTGAAAAGTATTAAAATAGTTATGGCTCCTGCATGCTAAAACTAGGTATTCCCATAATTATCAGTTAGCCATTTTGCAGCAGTCAATATCCACTACTTTTAAAAGAGCCTCCGTCTGAATTTTCAACTGCCAAAAATAATTTTTTCCACCTCATCTTGTCACAAAGTACCCACGTCACATCTTCACGAGCATTAAACCCTTCTCAAACCCTACATTTATCTGTGGATTTCACTCTGGATGCGTGAAAAGGACACAAGGACGGAACGTACTTTACGAACATCTGGTCGCCAAGTTAAAAACTTGTGTTTTTACACTTGAGCGTGTCTAACGGAGGGGAAGGGAAAGCACACAGGCTGAGGGTTCCCCTCCGCCGGGGAGATCGGTACTCGGGAGTTTAATCCTGCCTTTAACAACAGCAGCACCCGCCCGGGGGGCGGCCAGGCCAGAAAAAGGCTGCTGCCACGAAGACGTGTCCTTAGCGCTACGGGCAGCCCGTTGCCAAGGCGGACGGGGAGGGAAGGGGGTGGAAAGAACCGGCGGCCGGGCCCGGGGGACACGGGGGGACAAGGCCCCGCTTCCGGAAGGCTCATTCCACAAAGGCTGCTGCCACGAAGACGTGTCCTTAGCGCTACGGGCAGCCCGTTGTCAAGGCGGACGGGGAGGGAAGGGGGTGGAAAGAACCGGCGGCCGGGCCCGGGGGACACGGGGGGACAAGGCCCCGCTTCCCCCCGCCACGGCCAGACCAGGC